CTGACTTCACTGGATATATCTTCCAGATAAAAAATTAACAAGAAAACAGGCAAAAAATTAACAAAAAAACAGGTAAAAAATTAACAAGGAAACAGTGACTCTAAATGACATACTCGATTATATGGATTTAATTGATATTTGTAGAACATTTCACCCCAAAGCTGCAGAATATACATTCTTCTCAACTGCACATGAATCATTCTCAAAGACAGACCACATGTTAGAACATAAGACAAGTCTCTACAAGTTCAAGAAGACTGAAATCATATTAAACATCTCAGATCACAATGAAATGGAATCAGAAATCAACTACAGTAAAAACCCTTTAAAACATTCAAACACATGGAGGCTAAATAGCATGTTATTAAACAATGAATGGATTAACAATGAGATCAAGAAAAATAAAAAATTTCCTGGAAACAAATGAAAATAAGCACACAACAACCCAAGATTTCTGGAACATAGCAAAAGCAGTCCTAAGAGGGAAGTTCATAGTACCACACCTCAAAAAACAAGAAAAATTGCCTGGCTGGCATGGCCCAGTGGTTGAATGTTGACCTATGAATCAGGAGGTCATGGTTCATTTCTCTACCAGGGCATATGCCCAGATTGTAGGCTTGATCCCCAGTGGGGGATGTGCAGGAAGCAGACAATCAATGATTCTCTCTCGTTATTGATGTTTCTCTCTCTCTCTTCTTCTCCCTTCCTCTCTGAAATCAATAAAAATATTTTTTAAAAAAACAAGGAACATTTACAATAAACTATTTCACCCTACAACTTAAAGAATTAGAAAGAGAACAACATGAAAAGCCCAGAGTGAGTAGAAGGAAGGAAATAATAAAAAATTAGAGCAGAAATAAATAACATAGAGGCTTAAAAGATAATTTTAAAAATCAATGAAATCAAGAGCTGGTTCATTGAAGTGATAAACAAGATTGATAACCTTTAGCAAGACTTATCAAGAAACAAAGAGAAAAACTGTGGTACCTCTACACAATGGAATGCTACACTGCTGTAAAAAAGAAAGAATTCTTATCATTTGCAACAGCATGGATGGACCTGGAGAGCATTATGCTAAGTGAAATAATCCAGTTAGAGAAAGATAAATATCATATGCTCTCATTCATTTGTGGAACATAATGAACAACATAAACTGATGAACAAAAATAGATCCAGAGTCATAGAAACATTGAACTGACCATCAAGCCTCAGAGGGAAGGCGGGGGTGGGGTGGGTGGGGTGAGGAGGGTAAGAGATCAACCAAAGGACTTGTGTGCATATAGATAAGCATAACCAATGGACACAGACAATAGGGGGCGAGGGCCTGTGCTGGGGGGTGGGAGCAGCTAGGGAGAAATGGGGGGAAAAGGAGACATATTTAATACTTTAAACAATAAAGAATTTAAATTTAAAAAAAGAAACAAAGAGAGAGGACCCAAATAAGTAAAATCAGAAACTAAAGTGATGAAGTACAACTGACACCACAGAAATAAAAAGGAACTACTATGTAAGGAACTACTATCAACAACTATATGCCAATAAGCTGGACAATGTGGATGAAATAGAAAAATTCCAAAAAAAATACAATTTTCCAAAACTGAATCAGGAAGAATCATGAAATCTGAATAGGCCAATAACAACTGAAGAAACAGAAGCAATAATAAAAAAAAATTCCCAGCAGACAAAAGCCCTGGTTTGGATGGGTTCATAGGGGAGTTTTACCAAACCTTCAAAGAACAATTAACACCTCTTTCTCAAACTACTGGTATTCCAAAAAAAAAATTCAAACAGAAGGAACTCTTCCAACCTCTTTTTCTGAGGCCAGCATTATCCAAATTCCAAGTTAGATAAAGACACCACAAAGAAAGAGAATTACAGGCCAATATACCTGATGAACATAAATACTGAAATCTTCAACAAAATATTAACAAATCAGATTCAGCAATACATTAAAAGATCATATACCATGACCAAGTGAGATTTATTCCAGGGATGCAATGCTGTTACAAAATTCACAAATCAATAAATGTGATACATTACATAAACAAATTGAAAGACAAAAATTATATGATCTCATATCAATAGTCACAAAAAAAGCATTCAACAAAATCCAACATCCATTTTTTATATAAAATTTTCAACAAAGTGGGAATAGAGGAATCATATCTCAGCATAATAAATGCCACGTATGACAAACTTACAGCCAACGTCATACTCAATGGGCAAAAACTAAAACCATTTCCCCAAAGAACAGGAACAAGACAAGGATGTCCGCTTTCATCACTCTTTTTTTGACATAGTATTAGAAGTCTTAGTCACAGCAATCAGACAAGAAGAAATAAAAGGTATCCAAATTGGAAAGGAGGAAGTAAAACTGCCATTATTCGCAGATTACATGATACTGTACATATAAAACATTAAAGACTGCTAGATTTAATAAATGAATTTGGCAAGGTAGCAGGATATAAAATTAACACCCAGAAATCAATGGCATTTTTATGTACAATAAACTCTCAGAAAGAGAAACTAAAAAAGTAATTTAGCACTGCAACAACAACAAAGATACCTAGGAATAAACTTAACCAAGGAGGTAAAAGACCTGTACTCAGAAAACTATAGGACATTATAAAAGAAAATAGTGGAAGATACAAACAAATGGAAAATATATATCGTGTTCATGGATTGGTAGAATTAACATCATTAAAATGTCCATACTAACCAAAGCAATCTATAGATTCAACACAATCCTTATTAAAATACCAACGGTATATTTCACAGATCTAGAACAAATATTCAAAAAATGTATATAGAACCAAAAAAGACCCCAAGTAGCCTCAGCAATCTTGAGAATGAAGAACAAAGTTGGAGGGATCACAATATCAGACATCAAACTATGCTGCAAAGCTACTGTAATCAAAATAGCCTGGTACTGTCACAAGAACAGGTATATAGATCAATGAAACAGAACAGAGAACCCAGAAATCAACCTAAGCCCTGATGCTCAATTAATATTTGACAAAGGAAGCAAGAGCATATGATGGAGTAAAGACAGTCTCTTCAATAAATGGTGCTGGGTGCTGGGAAAATTGAACAGGAACATGCAAAAAACCAATAACAAAAAACACGAAAAAGAAACTAGACCACCAACTTACACCATACACCAGAATAAATTAAAAATGGATAAAAGACTTAAATGTAAGGGTGAATGGGTGGGTGGGAAGAGATCAACCAAAGAACTTGTATACATATATACATAATCCATGGGCATAGTAGACAATAGAGTGATCAAGGCCTGGAGTGGGAGCCGGGGATGGGCTAGAAGTGGTCGATGGAGGAAAAAAAGGGGGACATATCTAATACTTTCAACTATAAAGATTTAAAATAAATAAACCAATAAAAATATAAATTAATTAAATATGCAAGTAGGAATCCATTAAATTCTATCTCACTATTAACTGCCCTGTATACTGTATATATCATTCTTATATTCAGCATAATTGGGGTTAATTTTAGGGCTCAGAGCATCTGAAGGAAAATCGTGTTTTCACTAGAAGTAAAATCCAAGGTTAATTCCCTCTTGTCCTTCCCTCTATGAATATAAAGGTCTCAATCCTGAAAGATGGATATCCTGAGAAGTGGGGAGTACAAAAAAGTCATCTCTTAACTTTAAACTGAATACTCTCATTATGAAAGTTCCCAAAGCTTGTTGATGATATGTAAGGATCTGGACTTGAAAGAAAGGGGTACAAAAGCATTTATCTTTGTAAAGGAGATAAAAATCTGTTTTAAAGTGAGTTTGTTTTTACCATGTGAGGAGTTTCTCTTCCTTCAGATCTTTTTTCTTTTAAATATATATATATACTAGAGGCCCAGTGCATGAAATTCGTGCACTTGGGGAGGGTCCCTCAGCCCAGCCTGCAACCCTCCTGCAGTCCGGGAGCCCTCGGGGGATGTCCAACTGACAGCTTAGGCCTGCTCCCCACCATCAGTCGGACATCCTTAGCACTGCCGCAGAGGTGGGAGAGGTTCCCGCCACTGCCGCTTGCTCACCAGCTGTGAGCCCGGCTTCTGGCTGAGCAGTGCTTTCCCTGTGGGAGTGCACTGACCACTAGGGGGAAGCTCCTGCATTGAGCGTCTGCCCCCTTGTAGTCAGTGCACATCATAGCAACCGGTCATTCCGCTGTTCAGTCGATTTGCATATTAGTCTTTTATAATATAGATTTTATTATATCGTGTACTCGGGGACTGGGGGGGGGGGGAGTCCCTCAGCCCAGATTGCGAGAGGGTGCAGGCCAGGCCAAGGGACCCCACCAGTACAGGATTGGGGCTGGGGAAGGACGTGGGAGGTTGGCCAGCTGGGGAGGGACCGCAGGAGGGCTCCAGGGCATGTCCAGCCCACCTCACTCAGTCCCGATTGGCTGGACCCCAGCAGCAAGCTAACCTACTGGTCAGAGCGTCTGCCCCCTGGTGATGAGTGCACATCATAGCGACTGGTCAACTGGTTGACAGTCTGCCCTCTCATGGTCAGTGCATGTCATAGCGAGTGGTTGAGTAGCCTTAGCATATCATTAGCATATGACGCTTTGATTGGTTGTTCTGCCATTCAGTCTATTTGCATATTACCCTTTTATTATATAGGCTGTATATTTTATTGTTGATAGTATTACAGATGTCTCCCATTTCTATTCCTCCACTTTACTTCTCTCTGGTCTTTTGAACTGAAAAGCATCAGGCCCTGCCTAAGTTTGTCTATTCCCTGGGTCTAAGCAGCCATGTTATCAGCTACAGTGAGATTCTCTTCACTGCTGTGGATAATGCTCTATATTTGTGCAAAATTTAAGATGATTAAAAATTAAATGCCATTTCACAAAGCAAGTATTCCAAAATATCAAGCTAGTTAACCCAAAATAATGTGATAAGATCTTCCTTAAAGGGAAGGAAGTTGGGGCAAAGTCAGCCAACCAAAGTACATCAAAGCATTAAAGGAAACCATAACTCACCAAAGTGAGACTTCTGGATCGAGAACTGCTACTTCGACTCTCCAAGCTGCCCCCTCTGCTCAGGTCACTGAGCCTGCAGCTGGGTGACAAATCAGAGTCCATCTCTGAAGAGTCTGATTTCTGGTGGTTTACTGGCATCCCCACATAAATGTCGGCCAGTGGCTTGATCACAAGAAGACGGGAAGGGGCCAGTGTTCCATTCTGAAGTCGTGGATCACTTCTAGAGAAACCAAGCACAAGCAACAAGGGTTAGTGAGCCTAAGGAGTAAATGCCTTATCCTCCAAATGAAAAGCTCAGCATGAGTAAGAGTAGTATAGACTTAGGGCCTCAACCATTAAGAAAAAGATAATTAGGAACCCCTAAGTCAACTAGTTTGGTGATGCTCATTTTCATTTCTCCTTTATATCCTTCTCCATTATCAAAATGTAAGAATTATTTTTAAGGAAAGACAGATGTACTAAAAATTGCTTTGGTGCAGATGATTTGATAGAATAATGTGCTGGCACCTTCCTCTGCACTTAGGCTCTGTACTTTCATGCTCAGAGTCAAGTTCTCTTTGTGTGGCTTATTAATTCTAGTCTTTTCTGCTTCAGACACCACAAAAACTATAGCTCCTTTTCCAGCTTCACGACAGTTTAGAGTTTAGTTGAAATGACAAGAGTTATAAATTACTAATACAAGTTTGGTTGACATCCCCAAGATTCTAGACTTCTTTGGAAGTCATATGCTATCTTAATTTCTACATAAAATATTGAGGTCCCATAATTTAATACTATCAGGAAGTTCATGTTTTTACTTTCAGGAAGAAAGACACTGAAACTGTCCCCTATAAGCCCCTCAATTTCATACAGTCCACTGACTCTTTTTAAAAAATTTATATATTGGGTAACATCTATCTACATAAAAGCCTAAGCGACCATCGCAACCAAACGGACAACTAAACAGGCTGTGTGGGGCAGCCAGGCTGGCAGGGGGGTTAGTGAGGGACGACCAAATGACCGAGCAGCAGGCTGCATGAGGCAACATGGCCAGTAGGGGGGTTAGTGAGGGGTGACCAAAAAACCGAGCAGTAGCCTGCATGGGGCGACCCGGCCGGCAGGGGGGTTACGTGGGGCGACCAAACGACTGAGCAGAAGGCTGCGTGGGGTAACCAGGCAGGCGGGGGGGGGGGGGCAGTTGGGGGCAACCAGGCTGGTGTGGGGGCAATTAGGCTGGAAGGCAGAGGCAGTTAGGGGTGACCAGGCCAGCGGGGGGCAGGCAGGTAGGGGCAATCAGGCAGACAGGCAGGTGAGCGGTTAGGAGCCAGCGGTCCAGGATTGTGAGAGAGATGTCCGACTGTCGGTTTAGGCCCGGTCCCTGGGATCGGCCCTAAACCGGCAGTCAGTCATCCCGAGGGGTCCTGGATTGGAGGGTGCAGGCTGGGCTGAGGGGATCCTCCTCCACCCTGCACAAATTTTGTGCACTGGGCCTCTAGTTGGTTAATAAAATTATACAGGTATCAGGTATACAATTCTACAATACATCACTTATGTATTGTATTGTGTATTTACCCCCATAAGTCAAGTCTCCTATCGCCATTTATCCCCCACTTTACCTTCTTCCACCTCCCACCACCTCCCTATCCTCTGGCAATTGCCATATTGTTGTCTGAGTCCACTAGTCTTTCTTTTCTTTTTATTTTTTTAAAATATATTTTTATTGACTTCAGAGAGGAAGAGATAGAAACATCAGTGAAGTAGCAGTGATGAGAGAATCATTGACTGGCTGCCTCCTGCACGCCTCCTACTGGGAAATGAGCCTACAATCCGGGCATGTGCCCTTGACCAGAATTGAACCTGGGATCCTTCAGTCTGCAGGCCAACACTCTATCCACTGAGCCAAACCATCTAGGGATTTTCTTTACTTTTTTAAAAAAATAAAGTACAAGCACATTGAAAGTTTGCTTTTTTTTAAAAAAAAAAATTGATTTTAGAGAGAAGAGGGGGAGAGAAAGAAACATCAGTTGCCTCCTGCACTTGCCCCCAGGGATCGAACTGCAACCTGGGTATGTGCCCTGACTGAATATTGAACCCACCACCTTTTGGTGTACACGATGACACTCCAACCAATTGAGCCACACCAGACAGAGTGAGTCTTTCTTCTTTTTTCTTTGCTTAATTCCTTCATCCTTCTTACCCAGCCCCTAACAAACTCCAACCCCAGCCAGCTGATTGTATTCATGAGTCTGTCTCCACTTTGTTTGCTAGTTTATTTTGTTAATTAGATTCCACATATAAATGGAATTATATATGGTACTTGTCTTTCTCTGACTGGTTTATTTCACTTAGCATAATACTCTCCAGGCCCATCCATGCTGTCACAAAAGGCAAGATTTCCTTCTTTTTTTATGGCTAAATAGTATTCCATTGTGTAAATGTACCACAGCTTTTTTTCTCCTTTTCTTTTATATATATGTTAGAGGCCCAATAAACGAAATTCGTGCCAGAGTAGGCCTTTCTTCCCCTTGCTGCCGGCATTGGCTTCCCCCTGGCACTGGGGACGGGGGCTTCCCTCGCAGCCCTGGCTTCGTCTGGAAGGTCGTGTGGTCTAATTAGCATATTATGCTTTTATTATTATATATATTATTGATTTCAGAGAGGAAGGGAGAGGGAGAGAGAGAGAGAAACATCAATGAGAGAGAATCATTGATCAGCTGCCTCCTGCATGCTCCCAACTGGGGTTTGAGCCTGCAACCCAGGCATATGTCCCAACTGAGATTCAGCCCATGACCTCCTGGTTCATAGGTCAATGTTCAACCACTGAGCTACACCAGCCAGGCTGTACCACAGCTTTTTTATCCACCAATCTACTGATGGACACTTGCGCTGCTTCCAAATCTTGGCTATTGTAAATAATGTTGCAATAAACATAGGGGTGCGTATATATATTCTTTCAAATTAGTGTTTCAGTTTTCTTTGGATATATTCCCACAGGTGGAATTGCTGGTCATAAGGCAGTCCCATTTTTCATTTTTAGAGGTACTGCTTCCCAGAGTGGTTGCAGCAGTCTGCATTCCCACCAACAGTGCATGAGGGTTCCCTTTTCTCCACATCCTCACCCAACACTTGTTTGTTGATTTCTTGATGTTAGCCATTCTGACAGGAGTGAGGTGCTATCTCTTTGTGGTCTTTTTTTTTTTTTTTTTTTTTTTTTTATCTAGTTTCATTTTATTGCATATATCTGTCCAATTTTCCCAACACCATTTATTGAAGAGACTATCTTGGCTCCATTGTATGTTCTTGCCTCCTTTGTCAAATATTAATTGAGCATATTGGTTCGGGCCGATTTCTGGGCTCTCTATTCTATTCCATTGATCTATATGCCTATTCTTGTGCCAGTACCAGGCAGTTTTGAGAACAGTGGCTTTGTAATACAACTTGATATCTGGTATTGAGATCCCACCTACTTTGGTCTTTTTCAGGATTGCTGCAGCTATTCGGGGTCTTTTTTTATTCCAGATGAATTTTTGGAGAGTTTGTTCTAGATCTCTGAAGTATGCCGTTGGTATTTTAATGGGAAGTGCGTTGAATTTATAGATTGCTTTGGGTAGTATGGACATTTTAATGATGTTGATTCTACCAATCCATGAACACGGTATGTTCTTCCATCTGTTTATGTCTTCCTCTATATCTTTTTTCAACGTCCTGTAGTTTTCTGAGTAGAGGTCTTTTACCTCTTTAGTTAAGTTTATTCCTAGGTAGCTTAATTTTTTTGGTGCGATGGTAAACGGGATTGTTTTTATAATCTCTCTTTCTGAAAGTTCACTATTGGTGTATAGAAATGCCTCGGATTTCTTGGGGTTAATTTTGTATCCTGCTACATTGCCAAATTCATGTATTAAGTCCAGTAGCTTTTTGATGGAGTCTCTAGGGTTTTGTATGTATAATATCATGTCGTCTGCAAATAAGGACAGTTTTACTTCCTCTTTTCCAATTTGGATGCCTTTTATTTCTTCTTCTTGCCGAATTGCAATGGCTAACAATTCCAGTACTATGTTGAACAGGAGTGGTGAGAGGGGGCATCCCTGTCTTGTTCCTGTTCTTAGGGGAAATGGTGTTAGTTTTTGTCCATTGAGTATGATGTTGGCTGTGGGCCTGTCATATATGGCTTTTATTATGTTGAGGTATGATCCTTCTACTCCCACCTTGCTGAGAGCTTTTATCAAAAATGGGTGTTGAATTTTGTCAAATGCTTTTTCTGCATCAATTGATATGACCATGTGGTTTTTTTCTTTCAATTTGTTTATGTGATGTATCACGTTTATTGATTTGCGGATATTGTACCATCCTTGCATCCCTGGGATAAATCCTACTTGGTCATGGTGTATGATCTTTCTGATGTACTGCTGGATCCGATTTGCTAAGATTTTGTTGAGGATTTTGGCATCTATGTTCATGAGGGATATTGGCCTGTAATTCTCTTTCATTGTGTTGTCTTTACCTGGTTTTGGTATTAGGGTGATGCTGGCTTCATAGAATGAGCTTGGAAGTGTTCCTTCCTCTTGAATTTTTTGTAGTAGTCTGAGGAGGATAGGTTTTAGTTCTTCCTTGAATGTTTGGTAGAACTCCCCTGTGAAGCCGTCTGGTCCTGGGCTTTTGTTTGCTGGAAGCTTTTTGATAACTGCTTCAATTTCTTCCATAGTTATTGGCCTGTTGAGATTTTTAGATTCTTCCTGATTGAGTTTTGGAATGTTGTATTTTTCTAGGAATTTGTCCATTTCCTCCAGGTTGTCTAGTTTGTTGGAGTAGAGCTGTCGATAGTATTTTTTAACAATCATTTGTATTTCTGTGGGGTCTGTTGTTATTTCGCCTCTATCGTTTCTGATTTTGTTTATTTGGGTCCTCTCTCTTTGCTTCTTGGTGAGTCTGGCTAGAGGTTTGTCAATCTTGTTTATCCTTTCAAAGAACCAGCTCTTGGTTTCATTGATTTTCTGTATTGTTTTTTTGGTCTCTATGTCATTTATTTCTGCTCTAATCTTTATTATCTCCTTCCTTCTGCTCACTCTGGGCTTTTCTTGTTGCTCTCTTTCTAATTCTTTGAGTTGTAGAGTTAGATGATTTACTACCATTTTTTCTTGTTTTTTGAGATAGGCCTGTAGAGCTATAAACTTCCCTCTCAGGACTGCTTTCATTGAGTCCCATAGGTTTTGGATTGTTGTGTTTTCATTGTCATTAGTTTCC